AGAAAAAAATAAAACAAACATCTTATAATAAGCTTTATTTAATTATGAGTTAACAAATATTTTCGTATTTTTGAACAGTTGTGACCTTAACTGAATACAAGTCAAATTGCATACGCAAATATTTTTACATGTTACAGAGAAAAATAAACACTGAGACTGTTTCTATAATAATAATCAAATATTTATTTATTTATACTTTTATACTTAACAATAAGAATTCAATTCAGTTTCCAAAGCATCATGTATTATAATACATAAGTTAATAGCTAGAGGTCAAAAGACCCGCGGGTCAGTTTACCCACTTGAGGTCGTAAGCGAACTCTTTGCAAATCATAATTTAAATTATCTAGGCAGTATGGAGACCGGCACATTTCAATGTACCGGAAAACACTCGGTTGCAATTTTATACGCCAATATTTAAAGTGTAAAACGTAATAAGTCGGTGCCGAATTGTTATAAAGCTAACACCCTTTATTCTTTGGGGGCGGAGCCACGCTCTGTGGGGGCGGGGCCTTTCTCCGCGGGGGCGGAGTCCGCCTCCTTACACAGTACAAATTCAAACCTTTTTGGTTAGAGATCACATTTTTCTATACCGATCTAATTTCATAGTCTATCTAGCAAATACAAAGTAACAATTAGGTACAAAGTATCGTTCGAAATGATTTTCAAGACTTACACGTGTTAATATTCGAATACACTGCAAATTTACAATATTTGAATCAACTATTTAACAAGAGAAATATTTCGTTTATAATAATTTTAAGTAACAAAAAACGATTTTCAATTTTTCATTTGTAATTAATTGAATTTTCTATACCTTTTTATCTAAATATATATGAAAACGATACAACATGTAATTTAGTTTCTTTTTAATAAATTTAATACATAGAAGGGGAATAATTGTGATGGTTAAGTCCTTTTAAATTTTAAAATGCCGATAGATTCATCGTGGGCGTGTTCATCCGCCATTTTGTATAAAACCGTAGACGTAATTCGTATTTCCAACATCTGTTTTTAAACATGAACCCCGCATACTATAGACATATTTTCAAGTATATATAAACACCCACAACTATGCACGAACAAACTTACAAACTGATATCTTCAATATAGTCGAAGTATTAACCTTCAGTCTATACATATATAACCTACACTAGTTCTCAATCAACATTCCGTAAAGATTGTCTTCCAATCTAACCATTACCTTACCTTCCAAATTACCTTCTTAGGATCAATTCAGACTATGGAATAATGGTCGTGCACTTATCACTCAACTTGATTTGTATTAAAAAATGAAATTATATAATAATAAACTTCATTGAATAATACCCTAAGCTCTGACGGATCCATGGGTTCAAGGGCTCAAGGAAATGTTATCTGAATTCTTCTAAAACAAACGTATGTTAAACTTAATAATTTTTTTATTATTCTTTTAATGGCTCTACGTTTTTATCACATCAACGAAACCCCCAGTTTAGTGCACGTGATGATGATGAAAGAGATGTGAAAATCCCCTAAACCCTGGATCCGCTATGCAAGAGCGCTCCAACATTTGATTTAATTCCAACTGACTTACGTATACAATCATTCATAAACCTTTTTATAGTGTTATATAGGCCTTATAATCATCGAAACTTTTCCCCTTCGCCCAAGATTTCCTCGAAGAACCGAAAATCGTTGTGAAAATTCCCCTCAAAGTAAATATATCCCACGCCACGTGAATCGAAAAGCAGAAGTTCATTTTTATTTCTTTTTGACATAGAAAGTAAAGAATTTAGGAATTACAAGAAGCTGCTTTTGACTTAGGATTGCCTTGCTAGTATTCAAATTATACGACGAAAAAAGTTACATCTCTGAAATATGTAACTATTTTCGTTGCATTTCCATTAATTGACTTGTTCGGATGTTTATTGCGTTTACTTTCTTTCATAGATGCCAGTAAACAAAACGACACTAACCGCAAGACTTATTATAAAAAGAAAAAAAACGACAAATCTTTTTTTAGCCTTTAACTAAGACATTTTTTTTATAATCTAGCTCCAATAATACAATAGTATAATATGAATTGACAAGAGTCAGAGGCAGCGAATTCCTACGAGATATATAGCGCATTTCAAATAAGAACGTCCATCAATCTGCGCCATTTTGTGACGTCATATGTAGCAATTATTTTTTGTTGGAATCTATACTTTTCTAGCGACTTTTAACAAAATAATCATTGATGTATACATTCCTATTTGAAACACAATACACGTCAGTCTTGTCGCGTCTCAAGCCGTTAGAAACAAATTCTAGAAAAATCGTATCTCTTCATACACATATTATTGCACTTTTTGTATAACGACTTCATCCATACCGTATTTCCACTGAATTATACAATATAGCCATCTCTTTCATTCTCTTTGAAAAGAACAAAGACAGCTATATGTTTCTTTCCAGTGGAAAATGACGGTTTAATCGACACTGTCCAAACTGCCTTACGATTAAAGTTATTGCGTAGTTATCGAATCGGGTTATATCAGCGACTTATAACCTAAAAAATTACATATACATAAATAAAGATAGACATGTCAACACTATAGGAATGGAGCCGACAATGCGGGGCCCTACCTAACTGAGCTCACTTCAATGACTTAAAACATAACTAAAGTTAGGTTATAGTCTGTGCGCAACACTGGGGCACTAATTTAAAAATGTCTAGAGAATTGCCGGGATAATTACTTAATAAAATCTTTAGAAAATTGAAACTAAATCTTCAATAAAAAAAACCAGAGCAATCTGATTAAAATAGTGATGTGAATTATCTATAGACATTAGCAATGAATTAAAAAATAATGTTTACTAAGGAATGGATATACAAAAAAAAATTGATTTTTATATTTTACATCCGTAAAAAATATCAAAATATTGTACTCTTTCCCTTGCTATCATTTTACTAATATAAGCTTAATGAAAAAAAAGACTAAACTTGGCTCATTCGAGTTTGTTAAAATAAATATGACTACCGTTAATCAAAAGAAAGCAAAATATTTTTTTTTGTAATTATGTAATCAGGCCCCAGCGATACACAACAGACACCCCACAACATTCAAACTTAGTAAATAGCCACAAAACTACATTATGGTAAATCATTACTTATGTAACAAAAAAAATATAATAATTACACAGATTTAGAGAACTCACAGGACTTAAGAAAATGTATCGAAGACTAATCGAATGGGACAAAGCGAACTACGGCGGTTGTAGACTGGCAAAATGTACTGACGAAAGATGGCGCTATTACAAAATTTACCAATGACAAAATTTAAACAATTTCTAGAATCTCCGCTTGAACTGCATTAATCGTGTTTCTGAGACCTAAATATCTGTATAAAACATATCTTCATGCCTATAATTTTCAACGGAGATTTTAGTCCCAGAAACCCACGGTTGATACAAATATGTTTAATTGTAAAGTCATTTGCCAACATCTGTACCAATTTGAAGATTTCTCCCAATAAACATGGAATGGACCGTCTACGTATTCAGACACTGCCGATATTATCTCTCGTCCCATTATAAAATAAATAAATCGATAGTAAGATGAAAATAAAATAACTCTCTACGGACGGGAACACAAAAAAAGCATCGCCACCCACTCCCCATTGATATACGAAAAGCAACACGAAATATCGATATTTGAAAGGCACGATAGTACAACACTAGGACATATAGAGGAGATGACGTAAGCAACTACACTGTGACTTGTGACTAAATTCCGACAATTGAAAAGTGGGCGTGGCCTATCAGTCTGTCAGCGTCTGTGGTGGAATACGGACGTGTACGTAAATGTACGCAATATTTATTCCAAATTTAAAATATGTCAATATATAAATTTTGACATAAATATTGCAAAACCATAACAAAAATATACCAAAAATTTGAAATTATCTTTTTTATATGCTTATCATCTCCTCTCTATACAATCCATGACTATATGGAAGTAAGACGAGTGTTTGCAACTATTGAATGCAATAGTAGTAACATCTGTGAAGACTAGATTTATCTGAGCTGATTCCAATTCGATGAACAAATCTGGCACTAAAGACCACACTGCGATAATATTAAAAAAAACTTGCGCTAGCATAAACAAATAATTAACTGTCAAAATCATTTTGAAATTAGAATAGTTTTTTTTTTACTTTTAATTTTAACAATATATAATTTCCCTAAAGATAAAATTCATACAAAACAAAGGGAAATGATCGTAAGCTGATAAGAAGTAATACATAGAACATTGCTTATATACTTGGTTGTATATAATTGGTAAAATACGTAATCTGTGAACGCACCGAGGCTTATGTATACATAACAGGGCAATTTAAAATTTTCTCAAATGACAATATTTTATCAAATCTATCTAAATTGCTTTTATGAATAATTCTAATACTGCCAGAGATAAATCGAAATACATATGTATTTACATAACGCGGTTTATTAGTAACCGAAAACGGTTCAATAAAACTTGACCAAATAATTTGTTTTTACAATATATAAGAAATGAGGATAATTTACTAGCAATAGCCAAACACTGTTTACCGTACGTTCACACTATCGAAACATTTACGATAAAACATGTTGCGATACTAATATTTCTACCAACAATTAAAAAGTCAAATATATTTTCTATTCCATTATTGAGAGACAGATGTCTCAACATGTTTTATGTGTATGTTTCCGCAGTGCAAACTCACGGTATTGTAAATAAATATATCACTATATATCCGTGGCAAAAAAATATTCATTTACATCAACTTGGTAATGCTCAAAGCATCGCCTGTAGTGAACTTTACATAACAGTAATTACAATTAAATACAAATTCCATCTTTTTTTTTACTTATTTTTATATATAGGGTATAGCACTCACACAAATACAGTCAAAGAATTAATTTCCCTACCCACTTATATCATAAAGTAAAATGTCACAACTAACCACATATACATACATATAGACCGACAAGGATATCTGACCCGTTGGCATAAGTCTGACTAAATTATGACAGCTCACTAGCGCCCTCCTGTCAATGTCAAAAAGTGTCACAAGATCCTTTTTTACTGTGGCTGTCATATTCTATTTTTTTATGCCATTTTCTATGTAGGTTTTACGTATTTTCCGAGAGACCAAACCAAAGCAGCTGCACTTCTCTCTGTCACAAATATCCTTGTTTGAGTTACATTGGTCGTGACATTTCACCGTGGGTAGGAAATAAAAGTCCCCGACTGTATATACATATGAAATAAAAGATAAAGTTTGTTAATACGTTAATGTATTTAATATGTCATTCTCTAGCTGCTACAAGTTATAGTAAAAGATCATGTGATGCAAGACAGTGTTGCCCTTTCAATAAATACGCAAGTTATCTATATCATTTCAGCCATTAATTGGGACATACTTATTGCTAGTGTTGAAAATAAAAATTACATTATTCAGATTTTAATAAGTGGTTATATAATATGATAACATTTCCATTGAATAACTCTAAAATTGATTTATTTTAAACTAGCAATAGTTTACAACAGTCATAAGTCTTTATTCACACGTAGATGTCACGATGACGAATGTCACGATGACAGATGTCACAATGACAGATGTCGGATAAATTTGATTATACTAAGCGCAAGGAAATGATCGGAGTAGCATAGTACGTGGAGTTGATTTTGACACTGCCATCCAAAGCTACGATAAATAATGTAATAAGAAATAAAAGTACACGCTGTTTCAAATTAAAATATAAACTTGTAAAAAGTACGAAGCCGTAAGCATAAAGTGTTCCGTACAAACCTCTAATTAGTAAAATTTAGGGTTTTTTGCAATTTTTCCTTTATCTGTGGTATAAGACGTTGCTTCGTACTAAATTTCAATATTCTGAGTTTACGGGAAATACCCTGTAGGTTTTAATTGCCTTGCGAGTGTCGAAAATTTGCGACGTAAACTGTATCTTATGATTGCGTTTGCTTAGAAGTTTGATTTTTCACAACACCAAGGGACAGTAGACCTGGCAGTACAGTAGTAGACCTGAGTACTTGATATAAATTCCAGATTGATACCTCTACGCGTTCCTGTGAAAAATGGTCTTGACACACAGACAGATGGACAACTAAGTGATCCTGAAGAAGTTCCGTTTTCCCTTCCAAGGTACAGAACCCTTTAGGGTTTTTTTAAATTATGAGTAAAATTGTATTATTTGGATAACTTATAATTTAACCAAATTTGAAATGAAATGTTTAAAGTTTATATTTTTACTTGTAACAGCGTATAATTTGGATCGCAATCGATGTAGTCAAAGTGAAAGTGACGTCACAATCGACCAATCTACATTCAAAAACACACGCTTAACACATCACGATGTATTTCAAAAGGAATAAATAAAAAGTGAGTATTAGCGAAATCGAAATGGACATTAAACGTGTGATTGTTATTTTCAATGAGAACTGAATACTTATTATATAGTCCTATCTATCAAATCCAAAGAAATGTGTACAATACTTTGACTTAAGATATCAAATGTTGGGGATGTGAGTAATAAAATGGATAACGAATCACAGATATGTCCGAATATTCGTTCGTATTCGTAGATGTACTGTGTGTGAGATGGTGGATGGCAGTGCGCAGTGTGTGGGCGTGGCGGGGGTGGAGCTGGGGGCGTGTCGGGCGTGGCGGGGGGCGGGGCTAGTGCGCGGGTCACGTGCACACGCGTCACTTGCCCGCGCGCGCCGCGCACTTCTTCTTTTTGCGCTTGAAGAAACAGCAACACCTGGAATAAACGGATTGCCTACATGACGATTTACAGAGTCTGCTTGTGTTTAAATTGATAGCTGATTTTGGTGTTATAATAATTTATCATCCACAAATGTAAAGTGAATAAAAACCATAATACCTTATTTTAAAGATGAAAAATATGTATAGCATAAATAAATAATAATAAAAGAGAACACAGGTCACACAGTCTAAACAAACATATTTACATTAGTAAAAAAAAACAAAATAAATTAAAAATAAAAAGAAATTAAACGACGTCCTTTGTAGCACTGGCTGAAAAACAAAAAAGTAAAAACTAAAAGAAAAAAAAAAAGAAAAACATACAGTTGAAACACTGACTTGGTGTCGTCAACGACGTCGACCTCGTGATGGGGCTGCGTGATGGGCGTGTTGCTGTGCCCCGCCGTCGGGTCGTCCGCCCCCAGCTCGCCGTTTGTCGAGCTCACCACCTGACGGAGACATACGCACCATCACGTATCATGTCACATGTCATCTCCATTCACGTAAGGAACATCGCCCCTTCGTACACAAGGCAACGTAAATCGTCCAAACTAATATCGTACAGTTTCGTACATATACTGTTGAATCGTCTATTCGGTCAGTACAAGTATAGCGACTACATGTCAACTGTACAGATTTGCTCCGCCATCTTGAAAATTGCTACTTTTTTCACAATCTTGACAAATAGGTTGTGAGCGACTCTCTTTAGCGATGACCCGATATGTCGGGGACGGCCAATGTACGAACATCTGTCACATTGTATTACGTAAGCTTAGCGACTAGAATCGCCGAGTTTTGTAGATTCACACTGCATTGTGTACGGAGAGACTAACATGCCACTTCCAATGTCGAAACATCAATGACATCGTTGATTACGGAACGAATCCAATTATACGTCATTTATGACGTAACATTCCACATTCAATGGTACCATTGAAGAAGAAACATTTCAGGTGTAATGACGTCATCGATGACTAGTCATTATCTCCTGTGACGTCATTAACAAGCTCACACCGACGTTAGCTTAATGGGATTACAGGCAACTAAAATGTCTGTCTTAAATACGATCAGACAATTTAATTTACTTTCTTAGTAAATGAAAAAAAATTACAATTATTTATGTACAAGTTTTGAAAATTTAACCTTACTTCTATGTATATCGCCTAGTAAATAAAAACAATACTTTTAAACTATTTTTGGGGAATAAAATTAATATTTCGGATAAGTTTGGTGTACATTTAGCGACATAGCGGATTGTTTAGAGTAAGCAAGTTGACGATCTACACATCAGACACGCTATAAAACAAAAACTACGACACAAATTCCTTTCAAATAAAAAACGTCAATTTTTAATAACATAACACGATGTTAACAAATTAATTTTGAAATTAAGGGCAGTCAATTTAATAGTTATTAAGTAGTAAAATTTAACGTACTGTACTCTGATTTAGGACTATATGAAGCAAATGTTTTTTATGATCTATAAATTCAAATTTCATATACATTTTAATATATTTGCGCGTGCGCACGCTCTTCAATACACGTGTAGAAGCAACCACACAACACTGACAAAGCAAATATTGCCCGCAATTCAAATAAGCTTGTACTTTATTACTTATTATTGTAAAAACCAAATTATTGTACCGTAATATTATGTACACATTTAATCGACCAGTGGTTTGCAAGAGAAGGTAAGACTATACCATTTACATATGATAAAAAAGGATAGATAATAAATATTATCAATGTTACCATGGTACGATACAAATGACAAATGATAGAACGATTTGGTGGGAAAAAAAACTGTTTTTTTTTGTTGACCGCGAAGTAATTTATGTCAAAAGAATCCTTTGGCCTTTCTACCGAAGTTATATGAGATACTTTCACCCGTAACTGCATCTGCGCGGAATTAAGATAAAAAAAAACAGAAAGAGGATAAAAAGTATACGATGTCCGTCTTCTGATTCTAAGCTGCAAATTTCAGTCAAATCGGTTCAGCCGTTCTTGAATTATAATGTAACTAACACTACTTTCATTTTTATACAGAGATCTTCACAAATTCTGAAAACCCATATATATAAACAAACTTACATATGCGAGCAAAATAGTCCCTTCTTGTCAGTAGGGTAATAAAGATATAAGAACTTATGCAGTTAAACATATGAACACAATTTATCCAAAACTATGGGAACGTACCCATACTACGTGACCCGTT